TTTCAAAGGATTTTTTTAAATAGAAATCAAGGCCTCATGAAGTGGATCAAAAATATGCACAGTAATGATTTCTTACTCAACAAATAATATCAAATGAATCATTATGTACTATAGATTATTTTTTATTTTTCTTTATGTATTATCCCTATTTTTTATAATTATTTTTCGTTTTTCTCATTTTTTACATAGTAAACAAGTACTACTTACCGCTCAATCAGCTTACTCTTTTTATTATTTTAGCGGACGTCTATGACCCTTTAACCACCTTTTTAATTGTTCATCATTATGTGCTTCTACAGAGTTGTGAACCGTTGAAGCAATATCAACAATTTTTCTAATAATTCATTTGTTTGTTGAGATAATATTGCTTTGCCAGCCGTTGTTTATCAAAAGAGTTAGAAATTTTTGAATTACCGCTGTTTCAATATGGCGGCTGCGCATGCGCTCATCATATGACGAAAAGGCCTATTTACTTTTTGGTATAAAATAGAGCTTCCTGTTTTATTACTATGCTCTATGTATTAGAATTTGATTGATTGAAAGACGTAAAACTTACTATAACAAGAGTATCTGATCAAATTGTTTAACAAACAGAATACAAACTGAATATTAAAAATATAAATAAATTGAGTGAAAACGACGTTTATTTGGAGACCACCGAAGACACGCAGAAGTTTATTTATTTTGACACAGTCTCGTTATACATTATATTTGGATAAACAATGATTGGAACGTTATAATATAATTTATTATAGTTATTAAATATAAAATTCAACGAGTAATAAACTAAGTGCTTAGTTATAGAAAATTTGACGTGTTCTTGCAAAAAGATATATCCAATATTAAACTTATTCCAACATTACCATCATTATAGTCCTTCAAAATTGTAGTGATGAAAATAAGTCCCAAACATAAATTACTTCATAGGGCAGAGATAATTAATAAGTTTAAAATATAAAATAAAAGTCAGTCTTGAAATGCGCACAGAACATAATTCCAGTTAACTTCATTTATATATTATATCGATTTTTATGCTTTTTAATATGTCTTTATTGTGGTGGAGGCGTAAGGGAATTTATCATCTCATTACATCATGTAGGAGTCGGAAGCTGCGACAATCGCAGTGTAACAACCCTGTTTACGTCAGACCTAAAATATCAAAAAAAAATAATATATCGTCAAAGATACAAGAAGTTTTGTACTGCAATCCGAGTCATACATAAACATGGTACCTATAGGTCCCAGACTACTGTAAGTAGAGCATATTTCGAATGTTCTACTCTGTCAACAATATATAAAGTCAGATCATTCAGTTGGGTTATGTTTTTCAGTTTATGCTGAATAATGATTAGAGCACGAATAGTAATTCCTTAGGAGGACCTTATGGGGTTGAAAACGCATCTGCCTTTTGATTTTTAATCGAGAATAAATATTGTAATATGTCACGTCATTTATTTTTCATCAGACAGACTGCGTTCATTTGTTACCCTTACTATATAAGTTACCGTTAAAATAAATATTATAGACATTACTACACTAAAAACTAGGAAAGATAGTATAAACTAAGTTTCTTTTTTTACACAATACTTATTAATATTGTGGAATATTAAATTTTGAGGGTCAATCGAGCACACAGTTCAATTAAGGATAAGTGAATACTGTGAGTCATAGACATCCACATTTATCTTCCACCAAGAATCAAAACGCAGACACGTAGTAACATCTTAGGACTAAGATTGAATACCTCTTATCCATTAAAATGGTATTTGGTTCTCTACAATCACTATACGAAACAGCAGAATTAAGCTGCTGTTTAACGCTGTTATTCTGTGAGAGCGTGGTATATAATGGAACATGCGTGTAAAATCTATAAAATAACTGTAGCGTACCTCTGACATGTATAAAAATAATTAAAATAGGATGTAATGAAATTAAACAATCAAATTTTTTCATATAGTTTAATATATGTATATAATATTTACGATCTAGTTTTTCATCAATTCTTTTGCAATTCAATTAACAATTAGGTTAAGTCATTTATTACGCGTATAATATCTAGAACGGTTTTGTAATAACTTACGAGTACATTGCAAGATCTGAAAGTTTTCGTAATATTGACATATTTTATTAAAATGAATGTAAGTATTCATTTCTCCTTCGAGAACACTTTCATCTATTCGTCTTATTCAATTTTTGTTTAAAATAAAATTAAAGCCTTTATTAAAATAATTACATAATTGAACAATATGTCAGATTTTTGAACAATGTTTGACGGTACATAACAAAAGAAATATAATTAAAATCTATGCAAATTTTAGTAAAAGTAACATTTTTCATAGTGTTTCCTCTTAGTATTAATTTAATTTTCTTCACGTATTAGTACAGTATAAAAATAAGCAACTGAAATAACACGCAATGAAATAATATTGTCAACATTAATGCCATATTTACACATATAATTAAATGCACCATCAAATTCCATTCTTCTAACACGTATTAACTAAAACTAACATAGTACATCTATTTTAATAATTATTTAATTTAACACAGCCTCGTATATACATCAAATATTTAGATAAACAATTGAAAAGTTATCGTGTTATTTTATAGTCACTTAACCTAAAATTCAACGAGGAATAAACTAAGTGGTAAGTTCTAGAAAAAATTTCTTGTTCTTGCAAAAAAGGTAACGTTAGTAAAGGTTATTAAGGAGAACTTTTGGGAAACGTTAGTAATGGGAACTTTTGTTGAACCTTTTCTCAAAGGAGTGTAATTTTTATATCGTGATTTTTGCTTCTCGCAATTAATGTGTATAACATAATTAAAACTAAAAATATTTTTAGACATCATTTTGTGTTTACCTTAACAATGTTATGTTTTTTCATTTATTTGAAGTAGGAATAAAAAAAATCCTTTTTAAGTAGAATTTTGACACGTAGAAAGGACTTTTTAACGGATTAATTATTAGAGTAGTTATAGTTAACATTCTTATTCAATCTACTTAAATAATTATGAATTACGTTACTTTTTTTGTTGAAACATAATATGATTATTATTTACAGGCAGTAGTATATTTAATATATACACTATAAGTAAATGATCTAAATATTCAGTCTATTAATAAAATGGCTGTTGTATTGATAAATATTCTGAAACCAAGAATTTTTAGTATGCAGTCTCTACAGATTAATACACTTTTTGTTTGTCAAAATTTTATTTTATACAGAAATTATTTATTACTACAATTTCCCTGTTACTTGAAATAATATAGTGAATAACACGTGCTTGTTTAAATAATAATCCTTTAAAACGATTACAATTTTTTTTGTAAATGGTTCAAAATTGGACATGGACCTTTCCTACAGTGAAAAAGATTGACTATAATAGGCGCCCTTGATGGACAGGATTGACGATTACACTATGATACTTCTCGCAAATATGACACTCTTTGTCTGTTGCCGCTCCTCGGGTGAAGTAGACTCTGCGGTGGCTGATCGCGGTCATTTCACTTGAGAATGCCTCGTTTAGCGAAACACGTGTCGTATTAACGGTGGTGGTATGTTATTCCTAGTGTAGTGGTGTTGAGAGTAGCGGTATAGGGATAAGCTTTTTTTATAGAATAAGTGTGACATACAAGCAGACAGTTCTGCTAATAGTAAATGGATGCTGTGGCCCGTAGAATTCTACATTTATATTCAATTAAAACTCAAAATGCACATGCGTTGCCAGCTCTGAGGACTGAGATGGAATACCCAGTTTCCAGTAAAAAGGGTCTCCGGTTCCTCTAATTTCAACATAAGAAACACTGTGAGAACTATTCTGTGAGAGCGTAGTCCTACCCCGGTCGAGCCGACCCAATCGTACTACAGCCACAATATAGCTGCAGCATGGCTCTACCACGTAAAATGTGGTGGCGTGTACAGTGCACGTAATTGAGGGAGTGCAGAAAACCGGAATTTTTTTTCTAGTTTATCGGGGAGGACAACGCATATGAGTTTTGATTGCTAATTGATGGTAGATTAACATCTTTTTATTGGTATTCATCATATTTATTTGTATGCTACGTGGATGCTATGGTCCATAGACACTTTTTATATAGAAGGGGGCAAACGAGCATGTGGCTTAATATATATAATATAATAATAGTAAGTGACTACACCACTACAATATCAGAGGAATTGCAGATGCGCTGCAAGCCTTTTAAAAAGAGTAAGTTGTTTTCTTAAAGGCCCCTATATCACATCGGTCCGGAATTGCGGTTGGAAGTCGATTCCACACAAGATGTTGTGCGAGTAAGAAAATTTCTTAAATCGTAAAGTGGTAGACCGCCAATCATCAACATGGTATGTATGGTATCGCGAATTTTGTTTGTACGATAGTGAAGTTGAGCAGCTGGAATTAGCTCAAAAATATCATCAGAGCACTCTCCGTGGAAGGTCCGATAGAATACGCAAAGAGATGCAACATCTCTTCGCAGCTACATTTATACTTACCATCAGGTAAACTTTGTGCTCATTTGTAATCCAAATTCTGTAAAAAAAACCTGCTATATTATACGTCTACACCGCTATCTAAAAGAGGCCAATAGATGTTCCTAATAGTTTCCATTACTAAATTGTTCTGTCCAAGGGCGCAGTAGAGTTATGGATTCTCTGAAGCAGCTAGTACACGTTACACAATAAGTATTAACAAATTTATTAGACGTAATATTCTTAAACATAAACATTCTAGACTAAACTAAGTCATAAATAAAGACTTGTTTGTCTATATTAATAAAAATATAACAAAATGGTGTTAAAAAGGACGAATGTTCCGACGAATGAAGATCGAATTCGCCAACATCTTAACATTAAGAAGAACAACAGTAAATATACGCTTAAGCTATACACATTATATTTTATAAATATTTTAAAACCCTGAATATACTACGAATTTCATAATACTTAAATTACTCATCTTAGTAACCACTTATAAACAAATGCATATGAAAACTAATTCAGCTATCTTATGGAGGTTTCTGTATAATTTTCTATTAAAAATTGTAGGATAATTTGCAAAATAAGCATTAAAATTGTCGGTAAACACGTCTCTGTAGCTCCTCCTGAAAATAAACAAAAACATCTTAGGTTGTATTGTCATTATGAATTAATTTTACAAGCAGAGAATAAACATAAAGTTTGCTTGCGTTTAATTCTAAACACCTTAACTTATAGTAGCCTAAAAGTTAAATTAAATTTTAAAGCTTAGATTCATATAGGACGTGCAAAAAAACCATAAAAATACAAGAACAATTTTAAAATTTTTAATATGACATCGGCTTCCAAAAATACAAGAGAAAGTAACAAATAACAAAACTTATTTTGGCGCAAGAGTTCATTTAGTTGCAGAAGTAGTTATTGAATTTTTATTTTTTTTGAATTATTATGTAGTTCTTTATTATAACTACAAAATTGAGTTATTATATTAAATAGATAATACTACTAGACCTGTAAAACTTCTTCCCAAAGCAGAAGCAGGATTGGCACTACGTTCTTTGAGTACAATAGTGTGACTTGTGGCTTTCCATACATCGAATATTGATGCCTCACATCTGAAATTCACGAAAAATTAATAAATTATTCTGCCCGGATTTTTCTCCGCAATTTTTTTTACTTTCCATCATTAAAATACTTTTGATCTTTCTTCATAATCTCATGTAGGGAGGTTTTGTCCTGCATTCTTGACGCTGATACGTGTCGTTGTTTGGTTAAAACTAGAATATTATACTGCGTTTTATCAGAAATCATGAGAAATTATTTAGCAGAGTCCCTTTTTGCGACAACCACAGAACCCGTGGAATCCACGTAAAGATGTTTAAATAAAGAACCATTATTGAAATAATTACATAATTTCACCATATATCAAAATTTAATAAAAACAACAATTTTATTAATTAGGGTTTCCTTTCAATATATTGTGCTTTTCTTCAAGTACGTGGCACAATACAAAAATTAAAACCCAGATTTGAGATTTCATTTAATTAAATCGTAAAGAAATGCAAAGCGGATGAAGCATTGGATGAAATTTATCAAGCTTTTAGCATACCTGAAGAAACCTCTTCAAAATATTTAATTTTCGAAGAATTTCATCAATTAAATCGGATTATTTTTCTTCTTCATCATCATCAGTTTTCACAAAACCATTGCTAGAAATTGGCCTCTCCCGTTATAGAGAGGATTATTTTTCCTTTAACGTCAGACTTTGCAGGTGGATTGACATTAGCAGTACCAGACGTTTTGCGTTGCAGGTCTACGTTTTTTACGCATGGCGTAAAAGAGGCAGAATCTATCAGAAGTTATAAAAATTTTATGGCATATCCCATAGTTGCCTCCTACTTACTTTAGATTCTTATAGTTAAGATAGCATAATATACAATAGTTAAGTAGTAATTTATTTTACCGAATCATGAGTGTTGGTACAGGTGATAGTACAGCTGCTTCCAATTCTAAAGTAGCCAAACTAGAAGCATAACCGTTACTAAAGTTGAAAACATGGTTCGCAGTAAATCCTGGTACCTAAAAAAACACGATTAATGTTTATTATGTTGCTTGTGATATATTTACTTATTTCTTATTTACGTTCTCGTTCATTCTAAGGATGGAAACTCACAATATGGACCTATTAAATATTGATTATGGGATAACTTGAATATTAAGTAGTTTAAATCTAAGCTTTTGATTTGTATTAATAGTTATTTATTTATTGTTTACTTAACAATGAAATATATACAATATTAAAAAACTGTAATATAAAACTATAATTAATACATTAATTATCATATTACAGTCCTACTTCCCTTGGTAACATGCCAAGAACGCTGGCTACGTTTCCACGCTGAATAGCCATACTTAAGCCAAAAAAGAAACAGCCGCCTTATCATCAGCAGCCACGTTTATATGTAGAAACATGCTGTTGCTGCATCTATATTATGATTGTAGCATGAATGGGTCGACTTGATCGGGGAAGAATCACGCTATCAAGGAAAACCATTGTAAAATAGCAACTCAATTCCACAGTGTTTCGTATCGTGAGTGCAGAGAACCGCAAACCATTTTTACTGGAAACGAGACATTCCATCTTAGTCCTCAGGGGTTGCAACCCTTCTGCATTTTGATTCTTAATCAAGGATAGATGTAGACGTCCATGAGCTATAGCATCCACTTCCCACCAGATGGATTGAGTGCTCGTTTATCACCCTTATTCTATAAAAAAGCAACGATCAGTAACGGATAGAGTTCCTTTGGGAACTTCACCGCATGCGGACCCCACGGACCGGTAGTCTCTACAGCGAATGGCACAAATATAGTCATCTCTCAGAGACTTATTTTTGCCCAATTTACTCAGTTCAGTTGCCTCAGATGCCCCCCCGTTCCAAACGGAACCACTGAGATGAGAGGTCGCCAAAGTGTCTCAAGTATCATCTCACATAGCTTTACCACTGTTGAGCTAGGTTAATATTGTTGTAAGTTGAAATAGCATTACACACCATGAGTACGTTTCTGAAAATATCTAGCGTTGAATAATATAATTTAAAGAACATTAAACTTACCATTTGCTCATTGACGTACCAGGTGATATTTGCAGCAGGCAAAGAAGGTGGAGAGGAACAGTTAGCACGTATGTGGTCTCCGCCAACATAAGTCATGCGGTCTGCAGTGACATTAGGATTTAATAGAGGTGGTTCTGTAAAAATATGTTCTTGTTAGTATTCAAATACTCTACGTTATATACTTATGTAATATTCATCTTAAATTATCTCAATCGCATTTGTCGCAAGGTCACTGCAGAACATTATATATATATATAAAAAAAAAAAAAAGGTAGGCCTGTATTTTGTGTAAGTTTAGCACGATGGGTCCTCGCCGGGACGGACACGCCCCACAAAAAAAGCGCGAAAAGTAGTTGCTGTTTTCGTTGGTGAGTGTTGAGGACCGGGAGCCCTTTTTATGAAAACGGGCACTTCTTCTATTCAGACCGGGGAGAACGACGTGTGCTTTTGTTATGGATAATTGAGACTTGTGGACCAAGCCACCCATTCCCGGGCTTGTCCTTGCCCTCCAAAAAAATACTTCTTCCCACAGATTGCCTTAAACCACGTTAAGTTTTACATCACAAACTTTCTTACTGTTTCAGAAGTTCGAATTTCGTTCATAAATTGCACATAAAAAGTGCAGAATTTTATAAAAATAATAACAATAAATTGTGAGGAAAACTACAATATAATAAAAGATTACAGTTTTGTGCTTTTTATGTGGAAATATTAATTCATGGTGAAACAATCGTAAATTCTTAGATACACCTTTTGACTTTTTTATGATTTTCTTAGACCCTATACTTTCCAACCTTGTTAGTACTTAAACTGCATCGCATTTAAAACCACAATTTCACGTTTCTGCCTTCCACTTAAGTTATAACCGACTTCAAAAAAGGAAGTTGTGAGTTTGGAAGTATTTTCTTTACTATGTTTTTAAATAAAAGGAGTTCTTTTAGGGAAGAGTAGTAAAGATAAGTAGGCGTTTTTAGTTTTTTTTACAAATATAATTAATTTTCAGTTTAGTCTAGCCAAAATAAAGCTTCCATTTTTAATTGATACTTTTTATTGTAAAATGTATTTATTTTTTATAACTAAACTGTAGGTATTTCAGTAGTTGCGTAATAATTACTATGTCACTTAATTATGTCTAAGCTCTTGTGAATATTATGTATGACGCCACATCCTATCTAGATTAAAAACTCCGCAATAATCCTTTTAAAAAAGGTATATGACGACGATTGAAAATAAAAATATTAAGAATGGCTTCTATATTAAAATATTCAAATCAATAAAATGAATATGTTATTTATAAATTTTATTTTTATATGTAGTACACTATGCTTAAAATTATTCTCAAAAACACAAAAAGAAATGTAACAGATTGAATCCGAACTGAACTGGAACGTTTGTTTCTACCAAATATCACGACAAAACGCCAGCTGTGTTGATATGTAATATTTCAACGTCCCTAATAAAGGATTTCACGGAAAGAGGAGTAATATTGGCGACAATGTCAGTTCCAACTTTTAAAATTGACTCAGTTTGATTTTTACACAAAGTTTGTATTTTCCTTAATGTAAATGTGTCAAAATTTCTCAAATGTAATTATAATTTATTTTTATTATAATACTGTTAAGCTAAATATTGCTTACCTTTTCACACCGACTTAAGAATTTACACTATTGCCACGATACAAAGTTACAGGTTATGGGTCTCGTGGATGTTATATTGAGTTGGAAAGTGGGGAAAAATATAAAAATAAACTGTAGAGTTTTCCACGGATTGAGAAGCGTCAAAACAAGTGATGGTTGCAATCGTGGTTGTGTGAAATATTAGACAAGAAACATTTAATTACTGGGTAATAAGTAGTTTAGTTTAGTTTGCGGCAGGCTATTTTCCGCAACTCACGTGGAGTTAGGCGTGCATTTTGCATGTGATCAGTAATATCATGATTACTCGAGCCATGAATTCAAATTGAAGTAGTTTAGCAGTCCTTTGATGTAGCTAACCACTTAGAGGAGTGATTTTGGCATGCCGAGATGTTTAGCTCTCTATGCGGTGATCTTGGACACAACATGTGGGTTGTTGTTTTCTCCTCCCTTATATATGCCCTGCATAGGAGACTTTCTGTAATACCTATGGTGAATAAATTTTTGTTATAAGAGTTGTGCCCTCTAATAATAGCACTTCTTATTATCCTGATCTATGGTTGGTTTAGTCGCATTAAAAACTACATTCAGCATGCAGGAATTCCATATGCCTGCATGCCTACAGTCCTCTAGATTTTTCTGAAACTGCGCGTGTTGATTAGTATAGTACTAACGTATCAGTGAACGAACATTCTAAAAGGGATTCGGTATAATCAGTCCCTATACTATGGCTATTATTAGATATTGAGTAATAAAATTGACGGCTCCGTGGCGCAGTGGCTTAGTAATAAGAAGCTGCGTTGGAGGGCGCGGGTTCGAATGCCGCACGGATGTTTGTTCTTGTGCAATTTGTGTTTGTAAACTGTCTCCACGATATGGGATAATCATAGCGTGGGGGTAAAGTTATTTAAAAAAAATCGTGTTAAAACTTACCCACAACGACCATTTCCGCTGATTTTATATCAGTGTGGAACAGAGGTGCATCAGCTGATACTTCGCACTGATACTCTCCCGTCAACATTCGATCGACTTCTCTGATCACCACCCGATTTTGGTCTGAAGAAGCCACCTAGCAAGCATTTAAAGAATTTAAATAACTGCCGTACAGTTTTTTACACAGCAGGAATTCTTTTCTGCCTTCTTAACTATTTCTGCCGCCAAGCAGCATTGCGTGAACTGCTATGGGACGGCTTGTGTGAAATTCTATCTTAGTCCTTAGATGTGACAATTATGTAGCCTACTTTATTCGAAGTTGGCTGCGGGTGTTCATCGACTGCAGTATCCTTTTACCACAAGGTGGACTGCTTTGTCATTTCAGTTTTATACAAAATATGTTTATAGTGTTAGCGTATAACAATGTATATATAGTGATACTTGTATAATGTAAAATACATTTATGAAACAAACTCATTATTCCACTTGTTATTCCAAAAAAACGCTAGACCTAACCTGGCCTCAACTTACAATTCAAAATATTAAGAGACAAATAAAATGAAAACGTAAGATTTCTTGTAGGGAAATCTTGGTTAGTAAAGCTATAATTTGTAACGTAAAATTATATTAAAATATTAATTAACAAGTGGTGAAAATTTCCCTTGTCTCATACAGGATGTATGTTTAAATGATGTCACAAACGTGGTTACGCTGAAGCCATAATTTCGTTAAGAAACATTGTGATAGACAAGTATGTCGCTAAGGAAATGAGTTAGTAATATATACTTTCACTTCGCTATCACACAATGTGTAAGATATTGAGGTTGACAAAAGATAATTTAATTAGTATACTTACATCTACTTTAATCTCGGCAACCGGGAACACCTTTGTAGCTGGCGATTCCTTTGGTACATATCGATAAAATTCTATCATGTTTCTATACCATCGAATTGAGTACAACTGTGCGCCTTCTAACTCGTAAGTACACATTAACTCGGCGTCCCTTCCTGTTAACACGGCTTTTGGAACATGGATTTGCAGAGATTTTAGTGTATTTGCCGTACCTGAAAACCAAATATTTAAGATTTAAGTAAAAATTTTATTTCGTTTACTATTAATAGCGATATAAAACACATGTGGTGAAAAGAAAAGTAGCAATATATATTTTAACAGCATTTTTATTAGCCATGTTACGAGTACACGACGAGTTCTCGAACATTGTTTTAACTAATATTTGTTCAATATATATATATATATATATATATATATATATATATATATATATATTATATATATATTGTATAATTTAATATTTATTCAACAATTTAAGCACGGTTAAATGTGGTTTGACTTTAAATGGAAGTTAAGTTTTTTTAAGAAGATGAATAGTGTGTTATAAATATAGCTCGTGGCCTGCAAGCCCTGAGTCAGATGAAGCTGTAAGAGTCGCATAGACTAACAACACTAACATCTAGATACTAGGCTGTGTTATAAAAATAGTTTAATCACGTTTCGTTTATCATAAAACGGATCGTAAAAGAGAGCAAAACCTTTTCATCAAGTGCGTGTCAAGAAATTCAGCATGGTTTGAAATAAAAATCTGGTATTAGTGTCAAAAATGAAATATTAAAAAGTGTATCCCTTGAAAATGATACTACATTCGGATGTGGGTAGAAATACATTCTTCACGTAGTTACGTAGAACAGAATGTTGTAACACGCGAGAGAGAAAAACTAAAAGAGGAGGTGGGTTGCAACACCTTCCTAAAAACTCATTATAATAAAATACTTTCGTTGCCAAACGTTGAAACTACGGAAAATATCAAGCCAGTTAAATATAACTGGCCTACCGACACCTTGCAAGCAATCAGCCATAAGCCACTTACTATACAGCACCGCCTGCTAAACAAATAACAGCACGACTTCAAAGACGTGACTCAATTTACTTACGTGACTTAATGATATTCAACATAGTATAACCAAGGCCACATTGTTGAGATAGCCCAGTATTAGTTCAATTAGTTTGTAAGTTAGGTAGTCTAGTGTTCCTGTGTCGAAATTAAAAGTAATATAGGAAAGTTCTTTGTCTCTTTCCATTTCAACCCTCCCTAAGCTGCCGCAAACGTAAGTTACGCAGTTGGAAGGTTACGGACCTGTGGCAGAAACGGAAGGGGGTCCAAACATTGGACCAGGACTGGAAGAGCGGAGTACCGGGTTGGATTCCAACCCGATCCAGGACTCTGAAGAGGTATTTAAAGCCATACAGGTTATCCCAGAGTTTGATGAGAATCCAAACGTACTGACTAAATTTATCAAGATATGTGATCAGTTAGTCACGCAGTATCTTAGCACCGCTCCCGGTAGTAAATTTACGAATATAAATGTGTTTATTGAGTGGGTTACTTAATAAAATTACTGATACCGTCGCATGTATTATTAATTCTAATGGAATACTCGACAGTTGGTTAAGTATTCGGACCACTTTATTTAACAATTTCTGAGATCAACAGGACGAGAATGCCCAGGAATTTTATAACCATTGCCAAACATTATTAAATACAATTATGACTTACGTGACGTTACTCGAAAGTATTCAAACTACCATGCAGGCGAAATGCAACCTCTACAAAAAATCGCGATGAAGGCCTTTGTGCGAGGTTTAGCAAAGTAACTACGATCCAGCATACGATGCATAAGGTCCACAACTGCCCACAAAATTGTTAAGAATACGTGCAGAAGGAATTAAACAAAATTTATTTACATAATGATTTCTTATCTTTACGCGAACACTACACATTTATTGAAATTACTTTTATGGATTTTATTGCGTTTAATTTTACTTTTAATTATTTTTATTTTTAATTCCCGACGTTTCGGGTGCTATTCAGCACCCATGGTTACGGGGGACTGAGGTGACTGACGTCCCGATGTCATTGTTAAACCCGGAGTACCTTCAGCTTTTTTAATTATTGTTTATGCTCCGATCTATGCAATATGAACTGATTATGTCCTGAGGTCTTGCAGTGATATGCTTGGGTTTAGTTTTAATTTTAATGATTATAGGGTCTCAAGCAGGTACCCAGCCTCTTTCGTTATTGAAATTAGGATTTTTTTTTAATTTCAATAGCCTCACGTATCATCCTTGGTAGGAATCGGTGTTCTTTCGCGAGGATTTGTGTTCTATCAAATCTGATGTAATGGTTGGGGCCGTCTAGGATATGATCACAAACTGCAGACTTGTGAACGTGAACGTGATGTCATTCAACGTGTCAACGTGATCAACATTGATGCACATCACGTTCCGGAAAGTTACACGCAAGACCTCAGGATATAATCAGTTCATTTTACATAGATCGGACCATAAACAATAATTAAAAAAGCTGAAGGTACTCCGGGTTTAACAACGACATCGGGACGTCAGTCACCTCAGCCCCGTGACCATGGGTGCTGGAAAGCACCCGAATCGTCGCGTATTAAAAATAAAAATAATAAAAAGTAAAATCAAACACGATAAAATGTATTTACAACATAACGAGTCCGCGAATAATCAGATTTTTTGTAAGTCTGGTTATATACCACCTTAATTACCACCAACACCATTTTTACCATCACGCTTGCAAAGTTCACAAGCTGCTGTGCCTAGTTGGCCAGTTCCTGTTGGTCAGGGTCCCATGGGATTTACACCTTTTAGATACAATGAAAGTTTTAAAAATCAATAACATGGCCCAACAAATACTTAAAGAATGTTCGCTGTACCTCCAGCAATGACCCACGCAGTAACGTCTTTAGGTCACCCCACGGAATCATCCGCCCCAAAATCAGAATCAGCCTATGACCGAAGTTCTAAGATTTATGCAGAAAATTGTGACACATACTAGAAACCCACCACCTAGTAACAATTTTAAGACTCGCGAAATTCATGTTAATGAATGTGCACGCAATGACACAAATTCAGCTTACAATTCTAGTAATGACTATTCCACCGATTCTACTTACGAATCAACATATTATAATAATACTTCAAAGTAATCAGGATAGGATGGTATCCGAGTTCAATAATCATATTAGTTTCTAAACCTAAAATTTAGAATGTACTATGATATTATCGATCCAGTATATTATTTTAGTGGTAGGCAAATATTTAAAAAAATTAAAAGTTACAGCCATATATACGTCCCACTGCTGGGCACAGGCCTTCCCTCATTTCTGAGAGGGTTTGTTGTATTGTGGTGGTTAACATTCTGTAAATATAACAGAACGCGAGTAACCCGGGTTCGATCCCCACCGGCACTAATGAAATTGTTAATTGCAATTTTAAGTGCTGATTTACGACGTGCTCGACGGTGAAGGAAAACATCGTGAGGAAACCTGCATGTCTGAGGAATAAGAAAAAATAAATATTTCGAAGACATGTGAATTTCGCCAACACGCATTGGGGCAGCGCGGCGGACACTTCCTTGCCCTAAAAACCCTCTCAGAAATGAGGCAAATAGTATTCGTATTTAAATTTCGAATAATTACAAAGAAAACTTCGGCTTTTATAAATTAGCTATAGTATCCAATAGGAGTGCCCAGGCTCTTATAACTCCACTCCTATTCATTGCAACAACACAGAACTCATGCTTACATATAGAGGCAGAATGCCCGACGATCAACACTTGGTATCTATGCTAGAAGGCATTTACGCATCAACTCTGTACCAAACTTGACTACGATACACACCAAGAACAAAACCAAAGAACACCCGAGAAAATTCTACAAATATTATACGAATTGAAATCTGTCTGAAATGTGACATTTTCTGTGCTGCAATACTCGCCGCGCTGAGGGTTGAGAAGTTACATATGCCTATCGAGACCGTGCAAGCAATCAGAAGATCACCTACCATACAGCACCGCCTGCTAAACAAATAGCAGCACGTCTTCAAAGACGTGACTCAATTTACTTACGTGACTTAAGAATATTCAACATAGTATAAATACCAAGCCTTAATTGTTGGGATAGCCCAGTATTAGTCAAATTAGTATGTAAGTTAGGTAGTTTAGTATTCCTGTGTCACAATTACAATAGTTAAGTTAACTTGTAAGTTATAAAATAAAAGTTATATAGGAAAAGTCTGCGTCTCCTTTTTTTTTCAAACCTTCCTAAGCTGCCGCAAACGTAAGTAGCCTACGAGGCAATTTATAGGTGAGGCCTATGTTATGTACTGGACTAATGATAGCCTCTTAACATAACGGTGTTAGTTCCTCCTGGCCCTCCCTTCCCCCACTATTACTAATAGCGGTAGAATAAAAAAATATCTCCTAAAATATAAATGAATGTTATACATTGAACAAGATCCGTTTCCGGTCACTGTAACATTAACATCACTGTGATTCTATCTGTAACAAATAATTTAAAATAAATAGTTTGAAGCCGCCTTAGCCGTCAAAACTACTATAAATCACAAAGTGGCACTCCGGTGACACAGAAGCAAGAAAACTCTGGGCTACGAGCAAGATATATCCAGTATAGTGCATAATAAAATCCAAAATAACATTTAAGGTTAGAACATTTCACATAATTCGAAATTCATTCTGTCAAAATACTTCACCCTGTCAAGTTGACATTACCTTCAAAGAGCGAACCTAACGTTCATTTAATAAGTTGGCATTACCGCTAGCTTGCTATATATTTATTTATCTATGATTATCGCAATTGAATAATTGAATGATAATTAACTTCACGTCAGGTCATTAAGTTGGTATACCTGCGAGCGAACGATAGGGTGACCATCAGTGTTGCAAGTACATGAAAAATAATAACTACGATTTATAGTAAGTTCCGTTCTACGCTACTTATACTAAAAATATGGAGGAACAATTTCAATTATTATTTAACAACATGAAATCAGAAATGCAGAAACAAATAGCGGAGCTAAACGAATCACTTACAAAAAACTTAATGGATAGGATGGATGAAAAACTTAACCCTATTATTGAAGAGAATGAAAAATTAAAACAAAAAGTTAGCGATCTAGAGAAAGAGGTAGAATCTTTGAAAAGAGATAAGAAAGGTAACAACAT